TTTGTTTAAGAGATAGGGACTCGTTTTTGACCCCTGTCCTTATCGAAATTCTTCTACCCAATTGATTTTAGAACTTTAAGGATTGGGGACCGGGGTTTCCAAGGATGCTAAAAATTAGGGGAATAAATATAAAAGAATTAGGGAGGAATCTATATTTATTAAACTTATTGGTTTCTTGTAGTTCCAAGGGGTCGGTATTTCCGTTAGCCGGAAAGGAGGTAACACAAAAGACGTCCCAGACAAGTCTTTTGCCGCCGTGCCAAGACGTTAAAGACATGCCGTCGGGGCTCTTACCGTCCGCATTTAGGAGACCTAATGGCTCCAAACTATTGGGGAAACCGGCCGAAATCAAGGCTTTGCCGATTAATCTATTAAGGTTGTCGTGCCTCAGGAAACGGCCATTGACTTTGAGGCACGAGAAACAATGTCTAGAGAAAGGATCAACCTGTTTGTGACAGGCAGCATCCACAGAAGGGATAAGGCAACCAAGCCTATGGCCAATGGCAGTTTGAAACTCATCGTCTGTGAGTAACGTTTCCTTTATACCACTCGGAATATCGTCTAGCCATTCATGCCCGTTTTTTTTGCGTTTCTGAGCAGTTGAAGGTTAGTTAGATCGGAATACATACAAAGTTTTTCAACGCACATTGAAGCATAGGGACCAGGAAGCTCTTTAGATGACTGGAAACTGGCTGCTCGGAGCCTTGGGTGACTAGAGTAAGCCACTCTTGTTTAGCTGAAGATAGAAGGGGATCGTCCAACTCGATAAGCGAGGAAATAAAATCGGTAAAGGATATTCGAGATGAAAGAAAGCCCGCAATTGCCATTATAAAGGGGGGGGGTGAAAATCCCAGTCCACGGTAAGCGGGCATAGAGGCGAGGGACCAATTGAAATCGAATAAATTTAAGCCTAAAAGGGATTCGATAAAATGTTTAAATTTTAATTCGAAGACCTTAAGGAGAGTATTGTACTGGAAAACGGGGGAAGATTTAAATAAATGTAAGAATTTCGGTAGAAAAAGACATTTTTTGGTGAGAAAGAAGAACTGATGCTTGAGGAGATGAGGAAGACTCTTGAGTGAATTGGAAAGGGACTGGATCAAATCGTCAAAAGTTTTTTGACAAAAGGAAGTTGAAAACCCGATAGGGGAACCTAAAAGACAGAGTTCTCGTGCGGAATGATTGTAAAATCTAAGGGAGGGATAAAATCTTTATTGTTGAGGGAGGAAATTTCACACTTTTTCCTATTTAGGAAAAGACCAATTTTAGAAGCTTCCATTTCAACGTACTCTATGGCCGACATAACATTGGATAAAGAACCGCCAAAAGAGCCATCGTCGAGATACCATAAATTAAGGTCTAATTTGAAATCAGACTTTAAATTTTTGATCAAATCCTGAATCCCTATAGTAAAGAGCAAGGGACCTAGTGGATCACCTTGCTGAATCCCCTCTCTGGAGGATATGGAAAATTGCCCGAATTTGAGTAACGTAGGGAATCCATAACAGGAATTAAGGAAATTCCAGTATTTTGGGAAATGGTGTAAAAAAAATGTTAAGAATGCCCTCCTATGGATGGTGTTGAAGGCATTTCTGAAGTCTAACTTGCAGAAAACTTTATCGGCCTCAGTATTTATAAAAATGCGCGCAACGTGTGAGACCACTTCACACCCACCTCTCACTCCAAATCCTAACTGTGAAGGAAATAAGAAGGAACTGGCCTTAGGCCGAATCCTATTTACAATAGCCTTGGCGACTAAACGACGAAAGAATGACCCTATGGCTATGGGTCTAATGCCACCATCCGGTTTGGTTAAAAACACAAGACGTGCGCCAAAAAGAATAGGACGAATACAAAGAGGAACTTCGCATACGAGGATATTATTGCAAAGTTCAGTTAATGATTTCAGCAAAGGGTCAATAAAACCACTATCAGAGTATTGAATTGAATCCACAAAAAAACCAGGTCTGAAGCCGTCCACCCCACCTGTCGTCCCTTTTTTAAAGGACTTTAAGCACTTAAGTACTTCATCACTGGTAAAAGAAATAGGGGTAGAGGCATGCGGGTGAATGTTAAAAGGGGAAGCTAGTGGATGTTTTTCAAGAAGTTGTTGAAAGATAGTAACGTTGATAGGTGAAATAGTATCATCGGAAGTCAATATTCGGGCAGCAACCGTTAATATCTCCAAGATCTAATTTTTCAGAGATCAATTTACAACGGAAGGAGTTGGAATTTAAAGAGTTAGATGGAGAAAATTCATCGATAATCGTATTTCCGAAATTGGACACTTTCTACTTGATTGAGGCAAATAAGTTATTTAATCTATTCTTGGGCTTAACTAAAACTCGAAAGCAGAAACTAATTAAATCTAACCACAAGGGTATTGAGGAGAAATCTGAGTTTAAATTATTCATAAGAGACGTAAGGAACCTTGAGATAGACTCTCGAGCGGCTATAGGGATCCTAGAAAGAACAGGGGGCTTATGCGAATTAAGGAATAAATCAACAGAGCTTGAGGAAAAACAAGCCGGACTGGGGTCATACGAGTGAGGAGCGTTAATAAAAGGATCTGGGCCGTAGGAGAGGGGAAATTTTCCAGAATTGTGGCAAGCGGGTGAACCATGTTTCCTAAACACGCCATTTAAATTAAGCGAAATTATTTTCAAGCATACTTGACAACAAGAGTTTACCATGGGATAGCTTTGAAAGGGAGAAAACAAAAAAAAAACATTAACGGATATAACTTTGAATGGGAGAAAAAAAAAGAAAAAGATATTAACTAGGGAAATGGGGAAAAAAAATCCGAATTGGAAAAAGAGAAAGATACATGAGCTATCCTATCAGAAGTATAATCGAGATTAGAGGGGTTGGTAAATTTAAAAAAAAATAAAATAATAATAATTATAAAATAAGACTAGATACATAAAGTATAAAAAGTATTATTAAGAACAAAAAAAAAGGGGGGGGGGGGTATAAACAAGAAAAATGGGGGAAAGAAAAAATCAAAAATTGAAAGAAAAAAGAAAGATTCAAGAACTGTAAGAAGTATTATTATGAACAATCGAAATTAGGGAGGTTGGTATATTTAAAATAATAAAAATTAGATGCATAAAGTATAAGGGGTATTATTAATGAGGGGGGGGGGATTAAAAATTTAAGAAAAATAATAATAAAAAAAAAGATTTAGTTGATGGAGTATAACTTTAAATTATAATATTGCATAACAAAGAAAAATAATAATAAAAATAAGATTTAGTTGATGGAGTATAACTTTACATGATATTATTGCATAATAGTGCGTACAAATTGTGCGTTGCAACGCTGCGTTTCAAAACGCAAGCAATGCATTTTAAATGCATTCGTTCAAATTGAACACATTTCCGTTTTTCATTTAAATTATTTTTTTCAAAACGTAAACCTGCTTGCGTTTTCAAATTTTTTGAAGTGGAGAAATGAAAACACCATCAAAAATGTAAGAATATATATAATTAAATCATAATTTATTAATTATTTTAGATCATGGAATGAAGAAATAACAAAAAGATTTGCTGAAATGTTGGAACCTGAAGAGGTTATTTGGAATCAGGCGCATCCTGATCATAAGAAGACATTCTCTGTGATGGAAAAACTTTTCATCATAGGAATTAAGTTAAATAATATATAATATTTTTAATAATTTTATTTTTAGATTATCAGAAGAGTTTCCAGATTATGATTGTAGCGTGAATTACCTAAGGACACGTTTTAGGAACTTTAAGGATCAACTCAACAAGGATAAATTAGCGAGACCTTCAGGATCTAGAGGAGGGGTGCATGAATATAAATATAAGAAATATATTAATTTCATGCAAGCCACGGTTGCTGACAGAACTACTGTCAGTAATTTTCAGGAATCCCCTCCTCAAACAAGGAACCCTGCTAAAAATCAAAATGATTTCAAAAGCTTATGAGTGTATTGGAAAAAACATCTTCTAGTATCCTGTAATTCTTATTTTTATCTATAATTTATTTATCTTTTATATAGAATCTTTTTGGATAGCCTGGTTGATGTATTGGAAGGTCACGATTCTGATGAAGACTATTTTTTCAAGACAGAAGTTTTAAAAACAATGCAAATTATCAAGATTAATAGAAGAAATACACAAACAACAGAAACATCTGAAACAGCTTTAGATATTTTTAATACTATATAATTTTGATATTTATATTTGTTATATTGTTAATTTTTGATATATTGTTATTAATAAAATTTTTATATAATTAGTAGTGAATAATTATGTGTTAACTTCTTCCTAAAATGTAATTTTAAAAATATAAATAGATTTTAATATATAGCAAAATATGATAAATATTTATGATTATATTTACTGGCTAAAGTCAAGGTTTCACTCTTAGTTTATTTTTATTATGATTGAGGGCAATTAAAAATATTTGCATTGTTGAGTTTAATATATATAAATCTAATCTACAACCTTCATTTTATTAATAAAATTTTTATATATTTAGTCTGTTTCATATGTAAATATAGGATAATAAGTAGTGGATAATTATGTGTTAACTTCTTCCTAAAATGTAATTTTAAAAATATAAATAAGATTTTAATATATAGCAAAACATGATTAATATTTGTAATTATATTAACTGGCTAAAGTCAAGGTTTCACTCTTATGATTGAGGGCAATTTAAAATATTTGTATTGTTAAGTTTAATATATATATATAAATCTAATCTACAACCTTCATCCCCATTATTATTCCTCAACTTTGGATCCCACTTCATTTAATCTATTACAATTAACACTAAGCTTACAAATATATAACTAAACTTAAAATTATTTCATGATCAATACTTTATTCAAATTTTATTTAATATTAATAAATTTATTATAATAGTAATATAAATAAATTTATTATAATAGTAATATAAATAAAATTATTATAATAGTAATATAAATATTTATTATAATAGTAATATTAATAAATTTATTATAATATAAAAATTTAAGAATTTATAAAATTTTTAAATTTATCCCTAATGATTTTAGATTCCTGTGAGCTTGAGTTGTTTTCCCTGCTTGCCAAAAATGGTCTTGTTGTAAGGTTAGCCAATGTAGGATCTGTATTGATGATAATATAATTTTAAAAATATATATAAATATGATTTTTATATATTTATTTAAATTTAAATATTGGTATTACCTATATCATCAATGGAAGCTGATCCTTCTTTGTTGATGATAAGGTTATGTAGGATGCAAATAGCCTTTATCACTATCTCTATGCTAGGTAGTCCTATTTCTATTGGCTTACTTAGAATGTCAAATTTTTTGACTATTCCACTTCTTTCTACACTTACTCGAGCATGGCACAGCCTCATGTTATATTCCCTTTCTTCTGTTGTCAGATTTCTTTTGGGGTAGGGCTTCATCAAATAATTTGACAAAGGGAATGCGTCGTCCCCAACCATTACAAATGGTATGGCCTCATTACAACCTGGAAATGGTTTAGGAGCAGGCATATCAAGTGTATGGTTCATCAATTCTATTAATATATTTATAAGATATATTAAAATTAATATAAAGTAACCTCTATATAAAGAGCTATTTCTAAAAACACCACCATCACTTTGCTTTCCATATGCACCCACATCTATGTAAATAAATCTCCTGTTAATATCTGTTAGGGCTAACAGGTTAATAGAAAATCTATGCTTATAGTTATAAAATTGTGAGCCATTGGCAGGGCTCTTGATATATATATGCTTGCCATCTATAGCCCCAATACAATTTGGGAATCCTGATTGAAGCAGGAATTCCTGGGAAATCTAAAGATAAGTAAATATTAATCTTGATTTATTATAATAAATTTACTTTTTCCCAATCATTTTTATTAGGCTTAGGCATGTGAATATGTGCAGCAGCATTCCAAATTGCTGTGCACACTGATTTCACAATATTACTTATACAGGATTTTGAGATCCTTGAACTATAAGCTAGTTGTGCAAATGATACACCAGTTATTAAATACCTATTATATAAATAATTAATAATAAATTAAATTTATTTTACCTTAATGTAACAAACAAACGATCCTCAGCATCGATTTGTTTGTTACAGTTAGTAACTTTTGGATTAATATCCTCATATATGAGCTCCAGTATATAAGAAAATGTCGCTCTTCTCATTCTTGTATAATTATAAAATTGCGAATTTGTTAAATCGCCTTTAATATTAATATATTCCGAAAAAAGATCTTTTAACAAATATTTTGGACGTCTTGCTCTTCTTCCTTCCTTTATTTCTTTGTAGTAAATACAAAGCAAGTAATTTTTTTTGTTTTAAATTTAAATGTTTCATATTGAAAAAATAAAAGTTAACGCATCAATTTATACATGGCTGCGTTTACGTTTTTTTATATGCGTTTTAAAACGCTGCGTTGCAACGCACAATTTGTACGCACTATAACATGAGAACAAAAGAATTAAGTGGACGGGTAGGACGAAGGAATGCAACAATAAAAAATGGAAGTTAAAGAAAAAAAATTTTCGGGAAATATTAGGGTGTAGTGGGAAGATTTGGCAAATAAAATGGGACATTTATAAATGGTAATAAAAAATAAGAGGTTTTAACGTTTAACTTCATAGGGAAATTTTTCAGGGTGTGATGTTATAGGGGGGAGGGGGAGTTAGGAATAAAAGGAATAATCGCTAAGGAAAAATTAACTTCGCCGGGAGAAAGAGTGGAGTGAGAAGGTTTGGTTAATAAAATGGATCATATCATTAGAATTTAACTTCGTCGGGATTTTCAGGGTGTGGGGATAAGAAGAGGTTTGGCAAATAAAATGGAGATTTAAGTAATAATCGGATTGAACTTTGTAGGGAAAATTATTAGAGTGTGGAGACGTGGAAAGGTTTGGCAAATAAAAAAATAATCGAAAATAAAGGAAAAACAAGAAATACAAAAAAAAATAATTAAACTTTGTCGGGAAAATCTTTAGGGTGTGATGTAAAAAGAATTCAAACTTAAGGAAATTTTTCTACGGCTGCCAAATAGGGAAATCTTAAGGTTGTCTTAGCACTATTCGTTACACAAATGAAGTTAAGCGCTTCTTCTATTTGATAATGAAAGTTTTGATTGGACGAGCCTCCCTCGATGGTGCTTTCCGCGAATGTTGATATGTAGTTGGAAGAGCGATAATTGATATTGGATAATGGAATATTATACAAGACGTCGAAATTCCGAAAAGATATATACTTGAATTTTGAAGATAAATATGCAGCTTATTTTATTTATCAACAAATAAACATATTATATATTTTTTATTTATATTATTATATTATGAAATGAAATGAAATGAAATGAAAAATGGATTTCTTTTATTTGATATTTTTTAAATGATATGCTACTATTCGTAATATTATTTTTGTTACAATTTATTAGTGATTTTCACAGGCCCAAAATTTTAAGCAAAAAATATTTTTTGAAGTTCAAAAAGATTTTTAAACATATTTTGATAAAAATTTTAAATCTTTTTTGAGGAATTCTTTTGTGAATTTTATAATAAATAAACAATCTTTTAGGTGAAATCTTTTATATAGTTTTTTTTTATCATTTTTGTAAAATTATCTATTTTTTAAGTATATTAAAAGAGGCGGGTTTTCTAAATAATATTTTTTAAAAATATTTTTATTTAACTTATTTATGTATATGATCTTTTCAAGGATAATAATTTAATCTGACAATTTTTATATTCGTTATTGAAGATGTTCCTTGGAAAAATGACAATTATCATAATCGGTATTTTTAAACATATTAGATTTTTTTTACGGTAAAATATGTATTTTTAATATGTTAAAATTAAAATTTTAATTAAGATGCACCATATAAAAGTGACAATTATCATAATCGTTATTTTTAAAGTTTTTTAAATTTTTTTGACTTAAATCGGTTATAATAAGTATTGTTAACATGTATTAATAAAACTTCAGTGAAGATGTACCCTAGATAAGTGACAATTGTCATAATCCTTATTTTTAAAGTTTTTTGAATTTTTTTGATGCAAATGGGTAAAAATATAGATTGTAAACTTGTTAAATTAAAATTTCATGAAGATGTACCACAGAAAAGTGAAGATTGTAATAATCGTTATTTATAAACTTTTTTGACGTATATGGGCCAAAATAAGTATTGATAACATGTTAAAATAAAACTTCAGTAAAGATGTACCCTAGATAAGTGACAATTGTCATAATATTTATTTTTAAACTTTTTTGTATTTTTTTTAAAGCAAACTGGTAAATATATATATTGTAAAAATGTCAAATTAAAATTTCATGAAGATGTACCATATAAAAGTGACAATTGTCATAATCGTTATTTTTAAAAGTTTTGAATTTTTTTGAAGCAAATGGGCTAAAATATAAATAGCTAACATGTTAAAATAATATTTCAGTGAAGATGTACCATAGATAAGTGACAATAGTCATAATCGTTATTTTTAAAGTTTTTGAATTGTTTGACGCAATTAGACAAAAATATAAATGGTTAACATGTTAAAATAAAATTTCAGGCCAAACAAAAAAACAAATCGATATTTTCATTCTCATAATCGTTGTTCCTTTTATACTGCTTAAAATTTGATAAAAATATGCAAAGTGATTATTAAAGATAGCTGTAACCTATATTAAATTCTAAACTTTTAAGACATGGATTAACAATCTTATTCCTTAAATTAATAAATTTTAATTCTACATTATAAAAATGTATAACCTTGCATTCACAGTTAGCAATTATTTTTGTATACTCGTGGCAAAATAGTGCTGAGTCTGAATTCAGGGTAGGATTTTTATAGAAAGAACTTAAAAACCATATGAATATTATTTAGTAATATGATACAATTATCATCCTATAGATTTTATTATGGTTAAACTGGATTACAATCTATATTTTAACCCATTTACATCAAAGAACTTTAAAAATAACGATTATAAAATTGTCACTTTTCAATGGTATATCTTCATGAAATTTTAATTTGGCATGTTTACAATCTATATTTTAACTCATTTGCAATAAAAATATTCAAAAAACCTTATTAACAACGATTATGACAATTGTAACTTATCTATGGTTTATCTTCACTGAAATTTTATTTTAACATGTAAGCAATTTATATTTTTACCCATTTGCGTCTAAAAAATTCAAATAATTTTAAAAATAACGATTAGGACAATTGTCACCTTTCTATGGTGCATCCTCATGAAATTTTAATTTAACATGTTTACAATCTATATTTTTACCCATTTGCGTCAAAAAAATTCGAAAAAGTTTAAAATTAACGATTATGACAATTGTCATTTATCTAGGGTACATCTTCACTGAAATTTAAACATGTTTGCAATACTTATTTTAGCCCATTTACGTCAAAAAATTCAAAAAGTTATAAAATAACGATTATGAAAATTGTCACTTTTCTATGTTACATCTTCATGAAATTTTAATTTAACATGTTTACAATCTATATTTTTACCCATTTGCGTTAAAAAAATACAAAAAACTTTAAAAATAAAGATTTTGACAATTGTCACTTTTCAATTGTAGATCTTCATGAAATTTTAATTTAGCATGTTTGCAATCTAAATGATATTTTGGCCCATTTAAGTCAAAAAAGTTTAAAAATAATGATTATGATAATTGTCACTTATCTAGGGTACATCTTCACTGAAGTTTTATTTAAACATGCTAGCAATATTTATTCTAACCCATTTTGGTCAAAAAATTCAAAAAACTTTAAAAATAACGATTATGACAATTGTCACTTTTCAATGATATATCTTCATGAAATTTTTATTTAACATGTTTACAATCTATACTTTTACCCATTTACAACAAAAGAATTCAAAATAAACAGCGATTATGACAATTGTAACTTATCTATGGTACATCTTCACTGAAATTTTATTTAAACATGTTAGTATAACAAACCAAATTTCATAATAAGACGACCCAAATTTATTCATTAAAAAACAACAATCTAATATCTATCCATTAAGAAAAATATAATATAATAAATCATAATTATCCAATTCTTCATTCCCCAAAGGTCCCCAGCTGACATCTTCTACCATTAATCCAATATATCCAAATCTTCCAACTAAGGGCTTTTTCCTAACAATGAAAATCCCATGTCATCATCTCCTCTTCTTACTCCCCCAAGGAAAACTTAATTCCCCTGTCAGAAAATAACTGACATTTGATGTATTTTATTAAATTTATTTCTTCTTTTTTTTCAACAGTTACAACACGCCCACCCTTCACAAGCCCAGCGTCCCTCTCTCTGTGGTGGTGTTGTATCGAATCACCTCTTTGAATTGTATCGAATCACCCCCTTTGAATTGTATCGAGACGCCTTGAAGACGTTCAGGGAATTTGTCGAATCGTCTTCCCTTATGATGATTTATAATATAATATCGCCGATACCTTTCAATATATAATCGCGAAAACACATATTATCGATAATGACATGTACATTGGGGTATCTGCATTTATAATCTATGGAACATTAATATGGACAATGTAATATCAGCAAAACATAATAATTCATTCATTTTAAGACATTTGGGAAATATGAACTATAATACACATTATTTGGGTATGATTCATGGTAATTAAGAAATAATGATTTTACATATAATAATGTAATGTGAAAACATGGTCTATGTGTGAAATGCAATTTCAACACATGTAATTTTCCTTCGGTCATGTGAAAAAAAACAAAGCTACATTTCTGCAAATATTTCTTAAAATGAATAGAAAAATCCATCTTTAGGTATTAAAAATAATTGCGAAACTTTGCCGAACAAAGATTTAAAAAAAAATTACAATACATATAAATACATTTAATATTTTATATGAAGGAACAAATCTATAATATGTAGAAAATACAATATTTTCCATCTAGGAATTACTCAGTATCCTAAGAAAAATATACCATTTCTACCTAACTCTGTCATCACAATTAGCACAAATTCACAAAAATGTAGAATGCAAAGTAACAAAAATTGAGAATATAATGGGCTATATGGTATATACGTAAAGAATTTTTAATATACCTTCACAATATAAAATAATTTGAGTCCTTTCTTTAAAAAAAATGTTCATAAATAAATAGTAAATAGTGATGTGCTAT